ACTACAAAAAGATATAAATAAGATTTTATTAGCATAACAAATAATTAATATCAAATATAGTTGATAATTAATATGTATATTTTTTTCTCACTATAATCCATAGTATAACGGAGAATGAACCAATTATATCTTGGAATAATCGACCCTTTATAAATATCACTAGCTACATTAACGATGTTTGGTAAGAGTCGATATATAATATTTCAACAATGTTTGATAAGAGTCGATATATAATATTTCAACAATGTTTGATAAGAGTCGATATATAATATTTCTTAGTGCTGTTAGTAAATCATTTCACATTCCAAGAGTATACCAAAATTGAATAGCCCGGTTTATATAATACGTTGCAAGACATAAATTTATTATTAAAAATTTTATATAATAAAAAACTATAAATTAAATTATACTAAATATGAATTTACCTGTATTATGGATATCTTGGTCTATATGAACTTCAGTCCTACAATCAATGATATATAAGTATTAGTTAGTCTTAAAATCATCTTTGAATATTTTCCTGACCTCCTCTCTTGTTATAATCAACATATGTTTAAGATAAGGCATCTGTAGATGCTTATCTATCTCGACCTTATAGAGGATAATATAAAGTGGTTCCATACTTTTTATGATTTTAATTATGGTCTCCCACAATCTAGAAGAAGGAATTGTCTTTTCCATCTTTTTTCCATCGCTCAATCTCAAATACATAGAATCAAACCATTCTTGTGAGGTGATCATTATCTTGAGGCCCTATCTCTTTTATTGTAATGACTTTAAGGTAATAAAATTAGTAATAAATCAAGTGACTTCTGGTCAAAGTATCTTATGTACTTTTGCATCAAAGAGTGAACCAAATGATGATTATATATGAACTTTATAATTAACTATGCTCGAGCTATACACTTGCTGACTAAAGCTAGCTCACCAATATCAATGTCACTCCATATTCGTCTCATTGTCTTTTGAAAGATTTGAACTAATCTTTTAGTTTTGTCAGATCCTTATCTAAATACACATCGTGGATCTCCCTTGGTATTAGAGGTTGAATCATCATGCCAGTCTTTTGAATAGAGAAGATCATGATATGGTAATATGGACCTTGGGCTGTGTTTGCTAGAATCGTATAGAAGTTGAATCATTTTAAAATTACCTTCATATTATCTCACTCTTTTTCTTTTATATATACATTATCAATATGTGTCTGTTTCGTTATTGTGGAGGATAGACTTGTGGATTAATATCAATAATATCTAGTGTGGATCTCTTGCCGAGTCATCTTATAAAACTATAGAGTCCACCATGTCTCATGCTACTTATTTGGCTTAATTAAGGAGGGGCAGTTGGTTGCCTGGTTAGCCTTGAATTCCACTACCACTACCATGCTCCTATTGTAAGTTAGGATGTCGATGTCTCATTGCTTCATTGGACATATATTGATGCTCCAATGATGCAAGAATACTAGCTATGAGATCTGGGTCGATTTCATCGCTGCGACCCTTATAGTCATCATAAACTGGTTCTTGTGTAGCCATACAATATTCTTCTTTAGCTCTTGTTTTTTCTTTTATTATTGTATCTTCGTTTGCTTGTTGTAACTTATTTAGAAATAATTTATGGACCTTTGTTGGAACCTTCTTGTATTTTACAACATTGGGATATTCGTCGGTCAAATGTATCTTCACCTGTGTAATTCCTTTACTAATTATAGGTGCCTTGTAAGCTAATCACATGAGTGAAGGTTTGTGTTACATGCTACACAATCTTTTTACTTATTATTATTATTGATATTATGTTACTTTATATTATTAATTATATATATTGTGATGTTCTTGGATCTATGCAATGAGAATTGGATCATGATAAGATCATGATAATGAGATCAATTCACTTATAAACACAAACCCTAAAAATTTTCGATCATAGGTTACTCAAGAAGGATATCGAGATAGTCGAACAGATCGATGTGCTATATACCTGTCTATATGATGGAGGCGGTTGGTCTCATGATTGTTTATGTAGGGACACTAAGGATATAGTGTAGGTGCTCATTGAATAAGTTTACTAATTGATCCACTCATAGAATATTAGATGATTAAGAATGCCTCTTCATCAAACAATAGTTCTGTGGTACTAATTGTGTATCCAATCCTAGGACTTGAGACACCAAGGATGTTCTGTATGAGTACTCTACTCTTTGATATTAGACTTATAGATTTGAAAGTTTTAGATCTAGCACATCCGATCGTCAGAAATGATAGCTAACCTTACGAGGGCAATTGAGTATCGATAGAGGATCATCTACTCTCGGTGTTATGAGAATAATATCATATGTATTCTTCCTCAAGTAAATCCCTTGCTAGGGTTATTCGATTGAGAGAGAAGGAGATCTCTTGGAGAATCCGATTAGCGTGAGACTCGAGTAGATTCCGTATGGGCCTAATAGCACAATGCTCGGTATACAGTCTCTAGGATATTAGATGAATAAGAGACTACAGATATACAGAAACTAAGGGTAAATAAGTCTAATGGATTGGATCCCTCTATATCATCTAAGGATTATGGCGTAGTTGCCTAGTACGTTCGTAATTAATGAGCCGAGTAAATTATTATGGAGATAATAATTTATTAGGTTAGAAGGAGTTATGATAAGTCCGACTCATAATCAACTCAATATTGGGCCTAGAGGGTTACATACATATAGTTGGTATTGCAACGAGTAGAGGTTCAGATATAAAATATCCGTTGGAGCCCCTATTTATTGGATATCCAATAAGCCCCTGTATTATTATGGCATAGTGACCTAATATAGCGTAATGACTTAGTACGTTCATAATCGATGAGTTGAGTGAATTATTATAGTATAGTGGCCTAGTACGTTCGTAATCGATGAGTCGAGTAAATTATAATGGAGATAATAATTCACTGGATCATAATAAGTTATGATAAGTGCAACTCACGACCACCTCAATATTATTATGGAGATTTTTCACGCATCAATCTTCGCACGACGATCCAATATTAAAACTATGGGAACCTATTTTATTTTCCTGTTCTTCTGCTGCATATATGATGCTCTATTAAGGTTTCCCAACATCCTCTACCCTTACTAATATAGTCATAATAAATACATTACCAATGATGATGGTTTCATTCATCTTTCGGGCATAAACTCAAGCGTCATCATATGACTATTCCTTTGGTATCATGTTCCTACCAAATTTAAATTAAACAAGATATAAACATGTCAAGTACCTTAATAGGTATTAAAGTCAGTTAATTGACTCAATATTGATCTAATTTTAATTAAATCATCATTAAAATTATTAATCATAATATTAAAAAAATTTATTAAAACCTAATTAACTTTATTTTATCATCATAAACATGCTAAACATATAAAGGAAGTATTAAATACATAATTTTGATTTAATATAGGTCAAATTATGAAGAAATATGTCAATTAACATAGTTAATTACCTACTAATTATTTCTTTTTCAATACTATAAATATGTCAAATACCCTAATAGAGATTAAAAAAATTGAGTTGACCCAAATTTCGATTAAATTATTATTTAAACCACTAATTATAGTATTAAAATACTTTATTAAAACCTATTTTACCACCATAAACATGTTAAACACATAAAAGAATATGTAATTATTATCCATTAAAGGATGATGAAATCATCATTAGATACACTAATTAGACTATTAACATAGTTAATTATCCAATAATTATTTTTCTTTCAATAGTATAAATATATCAAACACCTACTAATAAATATTAAAGATATTTAATTAATCTAAGATCGATGAAATTTTGATTAAATCATTATTAAAACTACTAATCGTAGTATTAAAAAATTTTATTAAAATCTAATTAAACCTATTATACCATCACAAATATATGATCCGATAATATGTATGAAATATAAATATTTTACCTATTAAGTGTCTAATTTTGAATAAATCAATATTAAACATGTTAATCATAATATTAAAGATCTTAATTATTTTTTTAATTTATATTATTATATCATCAAAAGCATATCAAACAATGTATTAGATATTAAGTCATACATTACATAGGATAGACTTAATCATCTCATAAATCAATAAAAATATAAAAAGAGAATTCATATTTCTTGATTAAAAAGTTCTTCCGTTTAATCCTTCTAAATTAGCCTTATAATTGATTTAATCAATAAATTATTATTTTGTTGAGTTTAGGAAAGTAAACATTGAGAATAGAGATTGTAAGTAAAAATAGGCAGGGAGTTTGAAAGTAAAATTAATTGAAAGAAACAGAGGAAATGGTTTAAAAAGCTTTTAAGATGCCTCCAACGTAAATTCCAAAGCCGAGGGACAAGACAAGACAATAAGTTGAATCTGATCCCGATATATAAGCCAAAGCTCCCTTTTCAATACTTCCGACGGAGCTCCTGAGTAGACGAGAAATCCAGAGAAAAGCAAGTTAAATCAAATTGAGTATTAAGGGGTATAATCTGAAATCAATATCTTCTTTTCAGAACTTGCAAGAAGACGAGAGAGCGTTAGACTCAACAAGCACGGTAATAATTCTTTACATGGCGCTAACATTAGGCTTATTAGGGAGCGTTTTATCATTAGGTCACTTTTTGTAAGCAGTTCAATTTGTATTAAATCGATCATTTGAAAACCGTTATCAATTTGTAATAGTCGATTTCGATCGTTTTCGCTCGGTACAGGTTGATAATAATCGAAATCGATTGATACTACCTAGTACAGGTCGGTAACAATTAAAATTTCAATCGTTACCTCCAGGTATAGTCTCGCATCGCTCGATACAAAATCAAAAATTTGATACTGGACGATAGCAGACGATCCACGTATCAATAAGCTGACGGATCGGTACGTACCACCCGTATCGAACGGTATGGTATGAAATTAAAAACGCTTATAAGAATATCACAAATGAAATAGGGAGTTGTCAAATATCATAATTCATGAGAAGTGAGACCACCAAACCAATGATCTTTTACAATTTTCATCAAATCTTAGAACATAAAAAGAGTGAGAATTTGTCCTCCACAAAATAAAATTATCCATGAATTTGCATTTTCAGTTCATCATTGCTAGATATGGCAAACATGCCATTTTACATTTGTTTTTCATTACAGATGAAAGCCAAGATGCAAACTTAACTGAGCTCATATATTTTCTGATACTTATTTAACAGCTGCACTATAGCCTACCAGATCTTTCAACCCATGGTGTAAGATGGAGATGGTAGGTTGATAACAGTGCTCTTGATCTTCGTCATCATATTGATACTGTTAGTAATCCCTTGTGAACCGATGCCACTGTCTTTCAAGCCCTGAAACAGAGACAGCAGAAATCGGAGTTGTCATGCGATCATGGTGCAGACCAAGGAAATCTACTAGTTCATCACACAACTGCTATCTCAGAAAGATTGCAATTACCTGGAAGGGGAAATGGTCAGGTCCTCGAGCTGGGGCCGAATTTATCTGAACAGTTCCCGTCTCCATAGCGTCGCTTATCAGCATCGCTTTGTTGATGTCTCTTGTGAACACACATCCCTGTGACAAATAGAAGTCAGTCCCAAGCAGTTTAAAAGAATAGTAAATCTCTTCATTAATTCAGATATCAAACTGCTTGACTGACTCTTAAGCAAGTGAAAGATGCATTACTTTGGATTATCTTTAGCAAGATATGTTGATCCGGCACAGCATTACTCTTCCTAATGAAGAGGGCTGCCATTTTCTTTTCTGAGAATGTAATTGTCATTTTCATTGGCAAATCAAGCATGAGCAGCAAAGTGTTCATGGAAAGCTATGCCAAAATTTTCATGCTGATATTTGGAAACACATTGATATAACAGTTTATGGAGATCATTGTCACCATTATTTTAGTACTAATCAAGCATGAGCAGCAAAGTGTCTGTGAGGTCTGTCAAATTAGACCAATTGCAATACCTGGAGGCCAAAGTTGCTGGCATTGCAATGGTGGATGCCTTCCTCAACAGAGCTGATCCGGATCACAGGCAAGACAGGTCCGAAGGGTTCTTCCCAAGCAATCCTCATATCAGGCCGGACATGATCAAGTAGCAATGGCCATATGAGATTTCCTTCCCTCCGGTACTCCTGGCAAAATGTGGCTCCTTTTTCCTTTGCATCCATCACCAATCCTTCTATGAAATTTGCCGAAGATTCTGATACAACCGGAGTGATGTCGCAGTCGTCCTCCGGTGATCCGACCGATAGTTTTGCCATTTTAGACTTCACTTTCTCCACGACAGCATCAGCTACTGATTCCATGACTAGAACTACCTTAACAGCTGTGCATCTTTGACCACTGTGATGAACAAAAAGTAAGACAATTTGAGACTGGATGGATGAAACAAGAGAAATAGAAGCTGCAACATGTCGAGTAAATCAAGAGACGTTCAACAAAACACATATGAACATTAACCAAGATTGTACTCTGATACATGACCTGTAAGAGTAACCTCCTTTCACTATGTTTGAGGCAACCAAGTCGAGATCAGCATCTTCAAGCACAATGCACGCATCCTTTCCACCGAGTTCCATCTGTAAAGGGATCATTCCAGCTTTTTTTGAAATGGCAATTCCGGTATCACCTCCGGTGAAGCTGTCATAAGAAGCACAGAATTTTCATGATCAAGGCGCTTTAGGAGATTAATACGGCAAAAGGGAAAAGAAATTGGTTAAGCTAGTATCTCCAGTATGCTATTACCTTATGCAATTTACTCCGGGGTGCATCGTTAGAAAGTCACCTATTTCGGATCCCTTGCCGGTGACACAGCTGATCAGGCCCTTTGGGAAACCAGCAAGGTGAAAGCATTGTACCATGTGAAGAGCAGCAACTGCACCCTGGTCAAGAAGTAACAGATGAAGTTGCTTCATGAAATTTGCGAGATTAATCTCAAAAACTCGAAGAAAAAGCATTTCTGATTGCACAAGTGGTTCATTGTATATACCTGAGTTGGAGGCTTGAGCACCAGCGAGTTGCCGGCGATTAGCGCAGGGGCAATTTTGGAGACCGCTAAATTCACAGGATAATTGAAGGGAGGGATAGCTAACACAACACCAAGAGGGACCTACAACAAAACAATTTCAAGATCAGAATGTGTTGTTCTTCCTTGTGTTATCACAGAACATAAGAACTGTATGTACAAAAACATAAGGAATTCAAGCTATGTCTATTTCTCTGTTTTCTGCATTGCTAAATGTTCTGTTCGTTTGACTTAGTTCAGTGTCACTAACAAAACCAAAAGAAAGAGAACACAGAATAATTACCTTGGAACTGAGGCAGTACTTGCTGCGCTCATTACCAGGGAAGCTATCTGAGACTAAGAGTTTGCCCTCTCCGAGTATCCGAACGCCTTCCTCTGCTGTGTATGACACCAAATCCCCTGATCTTACCACCTTCAAATTAACCACACAACATGAAATAACATAGCTATGGCCATGAAGAAGAAGAAGAAGAGAATACGCCAATTTACCTCGGTGACGGCATCCTTCGCAGGCTTGGCAATCTCCTTGACGAGGCACTCGGCTACGGGGGCCTTGTGCTCCTTGAGGATCGCTGCCGCTTTGTGGAGATGCTCCGCCCGCTTCCACAACGGTGTCCGTGCCCACAGCTTTTGCGCTGCCTTTGCGGCTTCCATCACCTTGTTCACCTCCTCCTGCGTGCATGCTGTTCCAAACACCCAGTCGACCAAACAGAGGAAAACAATGAAGAAGATGGAACCACAATGGAAACGAACGACGCATGTGAGTTTTGCGATTCTCATAGCCTTACAGTGAAAGATTCTAAACGAAAACATATTATATTTTCATATGGGTTAATTATCCTGATTTGAGATGCATCAAAACCAAAGTAAACGTGAAACAGGGGAAAGCAGGGGATGCAGACAGACAAAAAAAAGAGAGTATAACGAATTTTGTACTGAGAATCACAGCCTCGAATCCCAGAAAGGATCAATTTTTTATGCGACAAATTAGTAAAGCCTCCATTTGTTTGTGAGTTTTTAGTCTCGAATACGAGAAAGCTAAAATTAAAGAAGAAAAGAAGAAGCAATCTTAGAAAAAACGAAAACCTCATCAAATCTGTAAGTCCGGTGGTTGCTCTCTTGCTGTGTAAATATTCGATCTCGAGAGAGACAAACAAATTAGATCCATCGCTCAAGAACTCGATGCGAACAAAAATCTCCGATTCAGATGCCTAGACACGACAACGAACGACAAGCTTCAAGAGCAAAACACTCCACCTTGGACCTTGTACTGAGTCTGCCGGGTGGTGGGATTGACGATGGAGACGGACTTCCCGGAGGCGGACTTCTTCCACTCGCCGTCCGCGTAGTACTTGTAGACCTGTTCCCCATCAACGATCTCTGTGAACACGTCCGTCCCTGCCATGATCGCCCCACCACCGGCAGTTGCTGCTTCCCTCTTCCTCTCTCCCACCACCACCGGGATCAGCGCCGAGCGAGCAAGGAGCGAACGCGAGCGTGTGATGAAGAAGAGCTTGATAGGGAGGCGAAGCGGTGGACGCCAAGGCTGGGCCGAGAGGAATATATAGAGGCGACGAGAGCCACGCCTCACCGAGGGCGAGGTGGACCACGGTTCCCATCAGTTCGGTTGGTCGCACGGAAAACGACGCGAGCAGCGCGGCCGCGGGTCACTCCTCCCCGGGGAGGGATACGAGTTCGACACAGTTGTATGGCGGGAACTACGTATCCGCCCTTGCCTCCCGCGCAGGCGACGTGGCGCCCCTGCCGCCCCCCGCTCGCCACAGAGCTCTCGTGGGCCCACCCGCCTGTGGGCACATCCATTAGCGGCTTGCGCCACTACTGGTAGTTAATTAACAGTATTAACGGCGCTGCAGGAGGAGCGCATGGACGAAAGGTTGTGTGGCTCATTATGGAGGGCAGGCAGTTCCACCCAAATCTAACCCAACAATTAATTACTCATGTCTTAATCACATTGGTGCATTATTAATCAAGATAGAAACTTTATTAAAATCTAATGCCGATGCTTAATTTAAGTTTTTTATATTCCATTTTACGAAATACATAAATATTTCATTAGCAATTTACTCCACATATTGATGTATTCGAATATATTTTCCATCCAAATTCCGTCCAACAGCTTCTGCATGTGCGATCCAATAATGGAGACCAACTTGGAGTTAACTCTGTGGAGGTTGATGTCTTTGGTTTGTCCGCCGGTGATGGAGCGGAAGGACAGAGAGGTGAGAAGGTCAGGCGAAGGGAAGCAAGGGAGGAGACAGGTGGTGATCATGCGGCGGTTTGGTGGAGGTATGGACTGTTGGGGTGGCTGCCAACTCCCGCAGTTGTGTATTGATGATGCCTGGCATCACCATGACTGCTCTCTGAGCAGTTGGTGGTTGTAAACGCATGGGCGGAGGTCTTCTTCCTTGGAAGATTAAGTCACACTTGACGTCTCCGTGCGACATATTAGTCTTTCCAAGGTTTTGGAAGAGTAAAAATGTAGCTACAGAGATGGTAACTGATTCAAAGGCATCTGCTGTAACTTTGGCTGCATGGAAGTGCACCTCTTGGAGAAGTCTGCAAGAATATCCTAAGCATTGTGCTCGTTTTCAGAGAACACACAGCAGTTAACAATGCGCTCTGATTCCTTTTCTTTGAAGCATCTTCATAATGGTTTGCAGTCTGAGTTAACCGGTACCACTGCTTTCCAAGTTCTTTGCCTCAAAGATGAGCAACGAGGCAATGGTTAGGTGTGGAAGTTTCCATCAGAGTTGTTGGAACTCCCACTCTATGGGAAGGTGCATCCGATTCCATTTCCATGGCTCTTAATTTTCGTTGCCCTACTGGACCATCATTCATTCAAGACACACGTACAAGAGAGGCACTCCTGTCAACTGAGTTATGCAGTGGGGGTCGGTGGAGAGATCAACATGAAGAAGATGTTAGAGAAGAAAAAGATGAGAGAATTCATTCACAAGTGTATGTAGCAAACCATGTGAATTACTTACAAGGTTAAAGAAGCAACAATGATCATGTTTTCCTTAATTTCCTTGCTTGGAACTGAGATCTTTGAATGGTGAAGTCGAACAGCTTTCACTGTGGATGCTGCTACACTTGAGGTCGTTCAAATTGGAGAAGCTTCACGATGAAGGGAAGAACCAACCGCTAGGCACGTGAAGTGATACATCAGTCATCTACCTCCGTATTCATCCGATGATGCCATCTGTTACTGAAAACACACCTGTTGTTGTCGGAGAGCTGTGCTCCAACGGTGGTTCACAGAAGGCAATGCCTACGCTTTAAGCTCAGCCACAAGAACATACAAGGACATGGAATTATTGCAGGAGAATGGATCATGGACTCGCTCGCCACCACAATCGGAAGTTGTTGGGGAAGGCAAGGATTAAAGCAGTGGATGGCATCTCTTCTGATGGGGTAGAAACATATTGAGTGGATGCAGGCAGGAGAGGATCGGAGTGGTCAAGGATGCCAGCACAGTGAGCATCAACCACAAGATTGCAAGGAACAAGGATTGGGTGTTTGTTTGTTTATATGGTCATGTGATGATCTCATTGTTCCTTTCTCTCTTTTGATGGGCCATGCCACCTGTTTGACTTGGTCTCCTTCTTCCTGTCTTTGTTCCTTTGCTACATATAAGAACACAAATTTTCCCATCTTTGTGTCTTTAGTAGGTAACGTAGTTTTATTACTTGATGAACAAACTCAATTATCTTTAAGAAAGTGAAGGTGGCTTTCACTAATGAAATGAGAGGAGCAGAATATAGTATTGAGGTATGGGTATCTAACCATGAACTGCTACATATTTCACGAGAAATCAAAACTGGTAACAAAATTTCCACCAAAGTAAATAGAAAACCAATTCATCCGGTGGTTGAGAGGGAGACTATCACAGCTAACACCAATCAAGCTTGGAAGTTGAAGATGAATGATGTGATAAACATGTAAGGTGTGAATTAAAATAAAACTACTAAATTGCTTATTTTCCTGTGTTTAAAATCAAGCACAAAAGTATTCTTCCATTACTTCATCAATGCTGAGGAAAGCTGAGTAGAACATAAACTTCACTAGTACTCCAAATAGTAAAAGCAAATAAACACTAAGTACCATCTGGGTTGAACTCAAGGTTGATTCATAGACCTTTTATAATCAATCAACATACCCCAGTGATAAGAACGAAATACTCACAGAAAAGACTCTATTTGACATACAACAGGATCAAAGCTACTCTATTTGATCCTCCTTCCTTTGTGTTCTTGCTAAATTATTCTTCATTTCATGTTTGCGAAGTTCTTCTACATAAGATTAAGTATTCACTTTCAGTAGGAATGACACATCTTCGGGGACGAAAGGAGCTCCACAACCATTTCAAATGCTGCTGCTGAGCTGATTCTCCCTGGTACATTTCAATCAAGCTTTTGATATTTCTGCAATCAAAATATAGAATATTGATTTAAGAAAGGTAATAGTATTTCTAGATTGCTACTATTTGATTATCATGGAGCAAACAGAATTCACCTCATTATTTGTCTGCTAATATTCCTGATATGATAGATAATCCTGATTATATGAAAGTAGACAAGACATCACATATATCATAAATACCAGAACATGTGCTGTACGGTTTTCCTTGATAAATAGATGGACAGGAATGCATGATGAACAAAACTTTTGCGGAGATCAGAAGGCAAATTACAGGGCAAACAGTTCGATTAACTTCTTCTAACTAGAGAAGAACATCATCATAATTTCACAAGCAAGATGAGCATCATTCTCTTCCATAATTGTGTCCTATACTTTTAGTTACCCATGAAATAATTATAACAAAGTCACCTTTTAGTTAAAGCCTTGTTTTTATATGTCCCAAAATCTTCCAAACTATTTAGAGCAACTGTTTTTCATCGGGCTAATTAGTATTATCCCATATAATTAGTTATTTTGATCATTTCGATTCCTATACTTTAAAAGATTATATTGATATCCCTATAGTTACAAAAGTGAAACATCTAGATCCATTTACCATAATATTATTGATTTTACGAATAAAAATATAAAAATAAAGGATAAAGAAGATAATTTTAATATTCTAGTTCATAATGACGGACAATATCGATAGTGGTAGACGACGATACTATACAATTGGGAGGGTGATTAGTGTGGATGAGTAGGGTAACGATAAGAGGTGAGAGTTGTTCTGTATCTACATCGACAACGACGTAATTGCTGAGCTATACCACTCTTCTCATCCACAGCAACCACTTGTGGCCCCCAACGGTATCATCATCCACCATCAGTAACTAAAATGTTAAAATTACTTAAACTGACATCGCTGATGAATGAATTTGGATGTTTCAGTTTCATAATTATAGAAATATTAATATAACTTTTTAAGATATAGGGACTAAGATATTAAAGATAGCGAATTACAGAGGTTAATATATAATTAGCCCTTCTCTATATCATGAGATAAGTAATTCTGATAGAGTAAACATGACTATTCACATTATCATTTCCTATGCAATGGGGGATAATTGTGATTAAGGACAAGCTTTCAAGATTTCAACTCTTCATGTCCTTGATCATCTTACCTCAACAACTCTAAAACTTTGAAATCTAGATAGAACTTAATCTTGAGTAGAGATGGTTATATGAAAAAAAGAAAAGTTTTTCATTCTAAAACACATATACCTTAAATATCGGGCTAACATCACAAATCAAATTATAAACAAAATTAAGCATGTATTTATTTCAATGATTCATAACATGTAAAAAAATTTTGGGCCTCAAGAAAAATGTAATGCAAGCTGATTTGCCATATAGGCAATGAAGCAGATAAATACTAACCCATCAGCAATATAAAATGGCAGAACCAAAACATATAGGATGGTAAATGAGAAAGCTACTAGTGAAATGGTAGAAACAAGAAAAGCACATTTCAATTAGTATCATATGGTGCCTATTTATACATGGTGAAAGAGATAATTTCTCAACTGGACAGTGAGATTTTCTCGTGCAGTTGAGGAAATCTCATTTGCTATTTAGTTGAGAAAATCTCTCTGTTATCATGCCCCTACAAGATTGAGCTCCTGTCAAGGATACCAATCTTGGATCCATGTAACAAAAATAGTTTGCGGGCTAGAGGCTTCGTGAGTGAGTTTGCTAGTTGATTAGTCATATGTACATGAGAGACACGAAGTTAATGTTTAACAACTTGATATCGCACGAAGTGAAAGTTGATGGTAATGTGTTTCATGCGTGAGTGGAACATTGGATTGACACATAAGTAGGTAGCTCCAACATTATTACATTATATTGTAGGAGTAATAATATTGGAGAACTGGAGTGAATAGACGATTAATAAGGTAGATGGTAGTTTGAAAGGCTACAAACCGAAATGTTACTAGCATGGAGGCTTGATGTAGAAGTGTGAGACCAATTTCTACGATATGTCGATGTTTGCATTCAACAAAGTCAACTAATTGAGGAGTGTATGGGGGTGACTTAAAGTGTT